CATGGAAGCGAAAGTATCTTGCTGAGTTTGGTGTAGTCACTCAGTGTATGGCTCCAACTAGGGTCAATGATCAGTACCTTACGAATTTGCTTCTCAAGATCAATGCAAAGGTGTGCTCGTATCAAATGTTTCTTCTTTTTTTACTTGAATCAGTTCCTCTGGTTGCAGTTTTAATCTTTTGTAGTAAAATCAGTAGTGTTATTGTTCTCTTTGTAGTTAAACCTGCTAATATCTCTACCATAACCTGCTCACAGCTTGGAGGACTGAATTCGATGTTAGCAATTGAACAAACACCTTCAATACCTGTTGTTTCTAAGGTTCCAACCGTCATCCTTGGCATGGATGTGTCACATGGCTCTCCTGGGCAATCCGATGTCCCATCAATTGCTGCGGTATGGTCAATTTTATTCCTTATCATTGGTGTCTTGAGTATGAAGCAGTTCTTAATGGTAGTTGCTGAGATATGATTAAGCAGTCTGCCTGTACTGAATTAATAATGCCTGCAGGGAAATTTCTTGAACTCTACTTAGAATATTTAGAGTTTTTGTATTTTTCAATTTGTAGGTGGTTAGCTCCAGGCAGTGGCCTCTGATTTCCCGCTACAGGGCATCTGTGCGTACACAGTCTCCTAAGGTTGAAATGATAGATTCTCTATTCAAACGAGTGTCTGACACTGAGGATGAAGGTATCATTAGGTGCGTTTCAATCATAAAGGTTATTTGACTAAAAAAAGGACAAGCGTTTTTTGTTGAAATTTAATTTAGATATCCTTTTTCTTTCTCTCTTTTTGGGAGGCCAAGGGCATGGGTGTGGGGCTGGTTTTAGTAAGAAAGTTGTATGATATGTTATTCTGCTGGTAATCATAAATGTCTGTAGTATTGTTACTATTGAGTCTAGTAAAGTTTATAGTTTGTGCACCTAACGTATCTTGTTTGATCTCAGGGAGCTTCTCTTGGACTTTTACATGAGTTCAGGAAAGAGAAAGCCTGATCAAATCATCATATTCAGGTTTCTTTTCATTTTGCATTGTGTTGTTTCTCATGTTCAATTTGTAATAATGGCCTGAAACACACATAGGTGGAAGAGTGCTTTGTTAGTGAACTCGGGTACAAAATTTGGTTTTCTTAGTTCTTAATTAACATAGGTTCTTCTATGCGTTGCACAATCTATTTCTATTTGTATCGACTTTGAGGCACTGGTGCATTTTATTCTCTCAAATCATTCTTTGCTTGTAACATGTGTAACTATTATTTGGGTAATATTGTATGCAATCTTCAAGTGTCTTTTATGTGCATAGTGTCTTCATGCTCCTTTCAGATTGTATATGTTGATGTCCATTAAACTCTCTATTAAGATAGCATGTTTCTTTCTGCCTGTTATTTGAAATGCTTTAGTTCTTTCTCTGCCTTTGCTGTTGCCCTCATTTTCTGTTCTGGCTTTGTGACTCAGAATTCTTTTAGATTCCCATTAATATTAGCATGCCCGTGTCATGAAGTTAGGCCTGTGAATGTAATACCTGCTGTGCAAAACTTTCTTGTATGTTATAATACTGTGAATAGTTGTCATACTATTGCAAGTTTTATGATTCATGTTTATTCTTGTACGGTAGTTTGTGGTTATTGTGCTGATGTTTCTGTTACATTTTAACAAGATGCTTGTGCAATATTTGCTTTCTTGCTCATTATTTTTGGGTTCAACTCAGGGATGGGGTTAGTGAGTCACAATTCAATCAAGTTTTAAACATTGAACTGGATCAGATTATTGAGGTATGCAATAGTGCTTTTTAATCATGGGAACTGAAAATTGTACATTCTTTTTTTTTTTCAAATTATTCATGCAAAATAAATAAGATCACAGTTTTAGTGATAAAATAATGTGTTCAAATGTTAGTGCTAGGGGTAAGACATCTCTTGTTAATGTTTCTAGGCTTGCAAGTTTCTTGATGAGGCATGGAATCCCAAGTTTGTGGTCATTGTAGCACAGAAAAACCATCATACAAAGTTTTTCCAGCAGGGATCTCCTGACAATGTCCCACCTGGTGAGGCTCACTTACTATTTGACTTGTCATTTGGTATCATTTTTATGGTTGTCAAACATGATCTTTTTTTTTCATTTCTTTTGCAGGAACTGTGATAGACAACAAAGTCTGTCATCCCAGGAACAATGACTTCTATCTCTGTGCACATGCCGGAATGATTGTAAGATATAGTTTGGCACTTGATACTTTCAATAAATAGATAAACAAAATGCCATTTGTTAAGAAACTTTAGAACGCCAGATATATTTTGGCACTGACACATCTAAAACATTTAATTGGTATACTGACTACATATTTCTGCTTGCCTTTCCTATTGACAATTCAATGTTTGTATATAAAGCTGTTGAACTCATATGTTTTTTTTTTTTTTGTGAAAGAAGATGCAACTGAATCAGAGTTCCTTGGATTCTCATCCAAGTTTTTCTCAATGCTTATGCTGTATCTCCTGTCTCTGTCTATGTATCTTTATGTAAGAGCCAAAAGTCATTAAAGTGATGATGGGAGGTCCACAGAATCCAGCTTTTAGGATTAAAATGATACTTAGATTTCTACCATGTTAAATTTAGTTTAGTTAAAACAGCAATCTTTGTAAGTTTTAAGGCCTGGCTTTGTGAACTTTGCTTTCTTTTTCTCCTTTTATATGTGATGCAAGGCTCTGACCTCTGACTTCTTATTGATGTGCTAATCATGCTCAATCCTGGTTTGGAGTTTTTTTCTCCATGTATTTGATTGGCTAATTTTGTGTTTAAAACAATTTGTGCTAAATATCTTTTGATAAATTCATGAGATAAAGAATTGCTATTATTGATTTTTTATGTGTTTCAAACCTTCTCGGTAGCCCATCTTTTCCTTATTGTAATATCTTTCATTCTTTTTATTATTTGTGTTTGCTGTTCAGGGAACCACAAGGCCTACTCATTATCATGTTCTGTTAGATCAGATTGGATTTTCAGCTGATGATCTGCAAGAACTTGTCCATTGTCTGTCGTATGTGTAAGTGTATAATCATGCCTTGTAACTGCTTCAGAAATATTTTCAGCTATAACTGCTGTCGCAATCCTTAAAATTCTCTGTTTATTGCAGGTATCAAAGAAGCACCACTGCAATATCTGTAGGTAAATATTCTGATTGAGATGCTACTTCAGTGTTTGTGATAGACTTTTTGGTTTACCTAATGATTTTCCCGCTTGATAAGATTTGTCTGGACTTTTATGCTCATACAGTAGTTTGTTGATTAACTGCATGATTTTGTAATTCCATTTTCAGTTAGTGTTTGTTTCAAATCTTACTTTCAAAAGCAAAATATGTATTCTCATCTTCACAATGTCCTTTTTGGTGTAGTTGCTCCAATTTGCTATGCCCATTTGGCGGCTTCACAGTTGGGTACATTTATGAAGTTTGAAGATGCTTCTGAGACATCTTCAAGCCATGGTGGGGTAACTGCTCCTGGAGCTGTTCCAGTCCCTCAGCTGCCCAAACTGGACCAAAAAGTCTGCAATTCAATGTTCTTCTGCTGAGGCCTTTGACCCATGTTTTGTACATAGGGCTTTTGGTTTTTGTCAACGGCTGGATATTTCTAAAGTATATTTCAAAGTTTAGAGGTAGGGCCCCTATTCCAGACTTCTATGATGATGTGCTGTTCTGAATCATCATCCATTTTGAATACTCTTGGGGTGCTTGCCCTAATGTTGCCTAAATATCTCCCTAATTTCTCCATTGCCCTAATGTCCAGTGGCCTTTACCTGTTTGGTTTATAAGTATCAGGTCATGGAAATGGTCACTTATTTACACTTTTCTGCTGAAAATCAGTTCATAGCCTAGAATACTTTATTCTAGTAAAAGATACTTTTTCAATTAGAGGAAGAACAAGGCAAATCTTGCTCTTATCTGTAAAACAGAACGAGTCCAATGCAGCAGGAAAACATTTGGTTTCCTTAGTTGTTTGAAAGCCTACCATAACGATGCTAAAACAATCTGCCCAATGCTAGAACTGGCTACAATAATGATTAAACAACAATAAATGATTAAACATCCTTCCTGCTAAAAAATCCCCAGTGTTTCATGTACCCAAAAGAGGCTGCAATGTTTCAGATATGTTGAAACAGGACCATCCATGCCAAAGAGGAGGCAAACAAAACAAGCAAGGTCAACTTTCCGGGGCAGTTTGATGCGGAGCCAATGGTAATGGGCAAAGAACTATTTGTAATTGTACTTGGAAGAGAGCCATTTGTCAGTGGAAAAGGTGGGGAGTCTTGGACAAAGACGGCGACTTTCATTCCTTCGAAGCAGTGGCCTCGGCCGCTAATGAAGTAATATGGTTTTGCCTCTGTCAGATTAACCACATCCCTTCCTCCCTTTGTGATGTTCTTGATGAAATCTTTGTCAATGCAGTTGTCATAGCTTGTCTCGTTCACTTGAAGAACAGTGTACAGCTGCTTGTTGAATCCAAAATCTACACAAAAAAGTGAAATTCAGGACTGTCAGTACAATTCAATTTCAGACCAAGAATAATGAAAGGCTTCCCAGGAAGACAGTTTGAATCAGAAAGAGGGAACTTACAGAGCCAATCACCCACATAGAACTGCTCATGGATCGCCCACTCAGTGAAGTTAACATTTGGTTTCCAAGCAAATCTTCCTCCTCCAACCCTGTGTAGGACTGGCTGCCTGCTCCCTGTGATCAGAACTGATACCATCTGCAGCAACACGAAGGCAAGTATTACCTTCAGGCCCCTCATTTTTCACCACTCTTTTCTCCCACCAAAGCTTTGTCTCTCTTTTAATGGCTATTTCTTGATAACAAGGATAATGAGCTACCAGCACATGCATTTCACATTCATATCCATATTAATCACAGAACTCTTACAGGTTTGTAGCAACAAGCACATTTTAGCATGACCAGACTAACTAGCTCACGAAATTTCCATGGGCAATAATCACCCTCTGTTGTTTTCGAACAGATCCTTTTGATGAATTTTGTATGATTGTGGGCACTGATCAAAGGTTTTCCGAGAGAAGATTAAAGCAGTGAAACGTGCTTATATGCTGAATTTTCAAGATATATTTCTTGTGACTGCAAAAGCTACTTCAATTAGCCTACCACTCACGCCAAGAGTAATGCTTAAAGGGTCTGCAACAACTGCTGGTGACAATGCTATACGACCAAGCTCGGGATCATTTCCCATAATTGTTCTTATCATGCTCAAATCCATTGTAACATGAAGAGTATGTTCCCCAACCCTGCAGCAGCACCAAGTATATGTACTCTTTGCTCTGATCCTTCAAACAGTTTATTTTTGAGTGAATCCAGGACTAGTCCAACCTTGATCAATGACATAAACATTTAAATATCCTGATATACATATTCATTGGTCTTAACAATAAATTTTCTCTTGTAGATCCTTGATGAATGGAATATGAATTGTTTCGGGTTGCACCATTTAAATGCTTTTGTTTTGTTTAAGAGCATATCTTCTTTGTATGGTTCCAATTTTATTGGATGTCGGAACTATTTAAAGGACTCATAATAAGAGGATTGAAGTCTAATGAACTAGCATGTCAGTACCTGCATTTCACGTTGATAGCTCCAATGGAAGGCCTCCAAGTTCTAGGAATGAAGCAAATTTTCCATTATTGTTTTGTTTTGCTTCTCCTCAAAGTAGATATCTTTGGGATACTAATCAGTTACGTTTGAGACAACCCAATCATCAAAACTTTGAAACAGGATTCTATAATTTTGAGTTGCAAATCCAAGTGTTTCTGTACTTAAACCATCAAAACAAGATGTAAACACTCATTTCAGAAGTGAAACAATGTCTCCAAATGTAATAATATTAGTAGTATTTGGAAAGAAAGATCAAGAACACAGAGGAGGTCAGCAGTGGTAGAAGAATCTGGCTCAAACAATTTGATGGAGAACCACTGTTTTTCCCTGGTGAGGGTGCTGGAGCTGGTGGGGTATCTTCAACCCTGACAGCAACTTTCATTCCTTCAAAGCAGAAGCCTCTGCCACTGATGAAGTAATATGGCCTTGCCTCTTTCAGTTCAAACACATCCCGCCCACCTCTTGTTATGTTTATCATGAAATCTGTCTCATTGCATTTCTCATAGCTGGTTTTGTTCACCTCCAGAACACTATACAGGTTCTTGTCAAATCCGAAATCTGCAAAAACATCTTTCCCCTCTAAATTTTTCTAAAAGTAAAATTACTGTGAAGATGAGATAATGGTCTATCTTAAACAACAGAAAATATTATGAAAGTTTGTTTTCTCAATGAAGTTAAAAATAAATATTATAAATGTTTCAGTAACCAAACACGCCCTGAATCTTACGATCGAAACACGACGAGAAGAAACAAACATTCATAACACTTACAAAGCCAATCCCCCATGTAAAAGAGTTGGTGATTAGACCATTCTGAGAAGTTAACGTCGGGTTTCCAGCCATAGTGGTCACCTCCGACGTCATGGAGAACAGGATCTCTACCACGTACCATCTTCATAGAAATAGCTACCATCATCGAGCATATGAGTATTTTCTTCAAACCATCCATCTTTCCCAAAACGTTTGGTTTCTTCTTTCTAACAGGAATAAGAAGAAGATGTGCATGCATTTCTTTTTCCTTCTTGTTCATTGATATTTATAAAGGTGAAGGACGTACCAGTTTTGGTAAGAAAGTTGGCATGATGGTATCTTCAGGATCTTTTTCTCTTGATTTCCTTTTCTGGGTAGATTTACTACCAAGTTAGAAACTGATGTTTTGGTAAAACTTAAGGTGACATGTAAAGAAATCTAGGAAGGGATGATGTTCCCATGATCGTTTTCATCACAGAAAGAGACTGCTTGGACTGAAAAAACCAGGCAGCCGACATAAACGATTTCCTGAGAAAGCCAAGGAAGCTCAACCACACTGTGTATATAGGCAAAGAGACCAATCTACTAATAGGATGCCATCAAGCCACACTGACCCCAAGAAACCTGACGTGTTGACAAACTCAGGGTAAAGCAGATACATATAGCAGATTCACAAGGAAAAGGTAAACATGAGATGAAGAAAAAAATTAGAGTGTGAGATTAAAAATTGAATCTCTTATTGTTCAATTTTCACAAAGTTTCTACAACTTTTTTTTTTTAAACAAAAAGTTCAGTTTTCCCTTAT